ACACACACACACACACACACACACACACACACACACACACACACACACACACACTGGTGCTAGAAAGACCCCAATGCATTACCAAACACACCTGTAGCAATGGCAGGAACAGTTCCATTAGAAACATCCACTGCAAACCACTCCAGAAGGAATCCCTTCCCTGAGATGGTAGAGTCAGAAGAAAAGTGGAATGTCAGTGAGTTCCTACTGGAGCTAAAGGATTCCAGCTGGGTACCACAGTAAGTGCCAAGCAGGCGGGAATGAGTGTCAAACCCATCATAAATCTGCAGATAAGAAAGCACAATAAAGCACTGTCACTAGGCAAGTACATATACTTTCTTCACTAAAAAAGAATTCTAAAGGATGGTTTGTATTTTTAAGATCTTATCAAAGTACAAACACTATCAAGAAAATACTTTATTTTCTTTAAAACAGAAATTCACATTAAATATTGTATAAATAATTTAAGGTGTTCCATATAGCTTTGTTGCAGAATTATCCTAAATAACATGCTTGTGGGCTATAGCTTATTCAGCAGCTTATAGTCAAACCTGTGGGTGGGAAAGTACAATCTATTGTAAAGAGATTCAAACTCCAGGAGAAAAAAAGAGTTAATAACAAGGGAAGAACCACAGCTGACCGGGCTCTGTACATTCAAAATACTTAGTGAATCTCTCCCATCTGCCTTACATATTTAGAGACATATTTTATGATAGTTTTCAAGCAATTATAAACAATTTCATTGTAATTATCATAATATTCTCTATTAAGCTTATTTCTTTCAAATTATGTTACAATTACTTCCACACCTATTGGGAACCATGTCATCAGTCATTGGTTTCCACTGAGATTTCAAGAAGAGTGATTTGACCGTGGCCTTCAGAAATATGATAGCATTTTCAGGAATTCACAGAGTAGCCAATGTATGGATGGCAAAGGCCACCATGATGTCTCCATTTGTATTTTTTATTTATATATCATCCTTTCAGGTTTTAAGGCTCAAATATTAGAACAAACACATGACTTTCTCTCTTGGCAAGCATGTTGAACTGGAGTCTATACTATGACCCTCTTCCTCTCTCTCTGTCCAACCCAACACTGCGGCTTCCATCTAGAGTAATGGCATCTCTTAATAAAAGCCTACCTTGCCTCAAGAAAAACAGCAAAGAAAGACAAGTGAATAAAAGAGGAAATAGGATAACAAGATAGAAGATTGAATAAACACAAAAGCAGGGCATCTAGGCATGCTTAGACTAAGTCAGTAAGGAAATTATAATAATGCTTAAAACTCATTTGATGTGGAATAAAGAATAATGACTATAATAAAAGAATTACTTTTGTAGAGATGAGGCAACAGTTATGATGTGGTAGGACCATTACATATGTTCTCTATTTATTTGAATAGGTATAAATTTGGACTTATTTTTGCCAATAGTGGACATCAAAATGTATAAACATCCCCCTCACAAAAGAAAGTCACCTGTAATTTGTCGTAATAGCAGTTTGATGTCAATTCTATGTCCATCTCCAAGATTCTGCCGTGGATAATTTGAGAGGCGTTCACGTTGACTATCCATCTGTAATTGGAGTGGTGGGGGTAATGTCCAGGCCACAAGGGAGATGCAATTTTCCCATGAGTTCCAACAATATTATCATTGCCAAATACTGGGAGGGAAAACAGAATTATAAATCAGACCTATTTAGAATTGTTCTTTAATTAAATGAAACAAGAACAAAAACAAAGGGCAAGACTGTTAGAAAGGATGAGCTTTTAATTGACTGGGATTTCTTTTCCGACCACTGAAAGAAATACTGCTTCCCTTTTGGGTTTCTAGGCTATTAGCTCCCGGAGAAGGATGGCTCTTGAATGGAATTCTGTCTCCTTAGAAGGCTGCAGGGTATGAAAACAGGGACAACTCCCCATGTGGAAAGCATTTCCCAGACACCAGGGGACTGGAGGATTAGGGGGGGCATATCACATCTTATTCTTAATTTTGCTTTGTTTTATGAAACAGAAGATTTTAAAAAAATTCTACATGAGAATCAACACATAGAATTGCCAATCATGGAAAAACCTGTTAAAGAATAAACTAATTAATATGTTATCTATATTAGAATAACCCAACTTTTATCTGAATGCTTAAGCCAAGCTTGAGATAATTCTAAAGGTCTAAATTTGAAGAATGTATTTGAAAGACCAAATAAAACATGTTTGATAGAACTTTATCTGCCTAAACTATATTAAAAGGCTCATTTGCACAGTATCATAAACATTAACAGCAGGTGAAAATTGGAGCCTAAAAAAACACTCAAAGTGAGTACACTTCCCTGTGCTGTGAGTTAGCCACCCATAAATAATTCTTTTTTTTTTATGGTACATTTTTTTCAATCTTGGAAAAGAAGGCAGAATGTAGGATTATTCTTAATACATTACTGAAACTTTTATCATCATTTCTTGTTTGTAGGACACATTCTGGGAGCCATTATAAAAACAAACCATCTTACTATTATTGAACCTGGCCTGGAAGCCCATGCCACTGCCTGAGCCATCAGAGACAAATCTGATCCACAGACTATGTCCCTTGATAGAAGAATAATTGGAAGGGAGGGAGTTTCCACAGTATCGTCCCAGTAAGTGGCCCGTGGCATTTCCTTCTCGGATTTCCACAAAATCCTTGTAACAGTTTATCGAATTCTCCAACTGGAAGGATCTAGTTTGGAAACAAACAAACAAACAACAAACAGTTACAAGGCAAATTGATAGAATAAATATGAGAGTATCCTGATTCTAGCTCCAGGGAATCCAAACCCCTTGTCTCGTCCCCATGGGCCAAAGCAGCTCAAGACTGAAAATGTTGCTACAATAATTGTACATCCTGTAGCCCATGCAGCTCAGTCTCCAAGTGGGTTCCCTAGTAAGGGCAGCAGGAGCTGTCTCTGACATAAACTTAGTGGCTGGCTCTTTGATCACCTCTCCCCATGTGTGTGGGGGGAGGGGAACAAAGGAATTCAGTACAGACAGTCCTGATGAGACCTGATAGATTAGGGTCAGATGGAAGGGGAGAAGGACCTCCCTCATCAGTGGACTGGGGAAGGAGTTACAGCTGGGATATAAAGTCAATAAGTTGTAATAAAAAATTTAAAAAAGAAAAAGAAACTCAATTTCTTGCTTTATATGCTGAAATTAATTTAACATTTTTCATGTATGTGCTCAAATATATGAAATATAAACTCCTACAACAGAACAGACTTGGAACTTTGAGACAAGCAAAAGCAAAACAGTACTACCTATAGGATAAACAGTACAATTCAGGCTCAATTTTATTATACTTAATGTTATCCCCAATGTGAAATAGGTCACACTTGTTTCATTTTGCTTCTGAGAAAAGAGAGGTGAACCTTCTCTTATCTCAGAAGGTGAATCCATGGACTTGCCCTGAAAGCATTCTACTGAAGTGTGACCAAGCAACCCGACATCACATCAAAGCTCTTTTGAATAAAGAATAAGGACCCCATATGCTTTGTCTGGGCATTTTCCCCCTTTTCCTTACAGGTTTTGTTGTTGTTGTTGTTTGTTTATATATTATAGTTTCTAATTTTGTTATTATGGGTTTTCTGTGTGTGTGAATGTGTGTATCCCAGATTCTGTGACTCTTTTCCGTTGGCTTTTTGTTGTTGTTTTGTTTTGTTCTATTCTGGTTTGTTTGTTTTTATTTTATATCATTTCATTTTATAATAATTATTATTTTAGGTAACTATATTCTAATGAGAGAAAAAGGTTTTGGATTTGGGTGGGTGGGAAAGTGGGGATGACCTGGAAGAAGCTAGGGGAGGGGAAACCATAATCAGAATACATTGTATGAAAAATATTTTTTCAGTAAAAACAGATAATTATGTAATTTGTGGGGGAGGATAATCTAGCTCCAAATGGCAACTGAATCAGGATGTGAAATAAAACTCACGTGATCTGAATGCTCATAAAAATTCTGACCAATGATCTGGAAGATGGTACAGTCAAGGTCTTTCCTAACTATCAAACTGTCTTCCAGATATGAATAGCAGGAAAAGCTCCCCATGAGATATTACAGTGGAGATACTTATAAAAGTCAAACCAAACTTCTTATGAAAGCTTTACTCTTGGAAGTCTTTGTTTTAGACTGGTCTATTTTATAACCTAATCTACCCTTTGGCTAAGATCTGTCAGTAAAAATATAATGTGTAACAAAAATAATACACTTTCTGTTTCTCATTATCTCATTTCTACTCTGCTACCAGAACCAATCATTTCCTCAAATCCCTCTGCTGGCATGAAGTACAATTGCTGTTCTTTCCTTTAATATCTGTTTTACAGAATAAAGAGGTTTTATTTCTCCCCTCTTTTTCATTACAAATTCAACCATAATTTATCCATTTTCTTCTCCCTGCTCAGCATCACCACAGCATCCATAATCTAAACCTTATGTTTTAGAACTTGATGTGGTTCATATGCTTCTCACACACCCCAGGGAAGAATTCTAGTGCACATCTGGACGTGTTTAGATCAGGGCAGAAATAACTCAAAGCCCTTGCCAGGAAGGCTTTCTCATTATCATAAACACACAGCATAAGCAATTTGCATTCCACAAAAGCCTCTTCAACAGTAAAATTCAAGCACGTAACACAAATGGGTCAAAGAAATGCCATACAGGTGAGCAAGGGAACAACCGAGTCTCCAAGAATGTTCTATTCTGTAATTAGGACTTAATGTCTGTCAGCTGGTAGAAAGGATGGCACTACTTCTGTCCTTGTCTGCTTTCTGCTAACTTGAGAAGGAAAGAGTTTATTTGGTTTATAGGTTACAGTCCCTCATGGAACTGCCTGCGCAGGGGCTCTCCATAGGAACCTGGAAGCAAGAACTGAAGCCATGTCCAGGAAGGAACACGGCTTACAGACTTACGCCCAGGCTTACATTCAGCTGCCTTTCTTTTAGAGTTCAGGCCACACTGGGATGGGCCTGCCCACATTAATTAGCACTCAAGACAATGCCCTATAGACATGCCTACAGGCTAACTGTCCCTTGAAGTTCCCTCTTCCCAGGTGTGTCAAGTTGACAACCAAGATAAGCACCTATGCTCTAGTCTAGTGTGGGCCATGAGAGCTTGTCCCTGAAGCACTACAGAAAATTCTGTGACATTTCAAAGAATGAAAGGAACAGCCTTCACTGAACACTGCTGTATCATGGCCTTGGGTTACGCATTTTAGAAATTAGTATTTTTAATCATGTGTATTGTTGTCCCTCTAAGAATGAAATGCTTCTTTTGAGGTTTCCATTCAATAGCTTCTTGAAGTTGATTTATCAATAAATTTGTCAAGAGCATGTGTGTACTAAATATCGCCAGTACCTAACCTAGTTCCTGGCACCACTGAACATCAGAGGGGTGAACAACATAAATGCGGCAGAGGCAGGAGGAAAGAGACTGAAACAGAGGTTCATGTACTTGACAAGTTGTGAGGTGAAGCAAGCTATATGGAGGCCCTTGGACTTCATCACTGAGACAGGAGAGCACTTCTCTCATCACCACCTGGAAGGGAGGACATTCCATCCCCAGGAAAGGAGCACATTTCCTCTGTGTGCTCTGAGTACTGACAATTATTTGGCCAACAGAAACACACATCATGGAGAGATTATCATATGCCTATTTGTATAATTTCTTATTACATAAGAAATGTCATGATCTCAGTGAAAATAAAAAGACAACTGCCAACCTTTCCACATGGCAGTTTAAGCTTGCATTGCCTCTCGTGTATAGGAAGAGTCTCTTTGCTTAGCACGATGTCACTTGCGCCCTGAGGAGGCCTGACCTGACTGGTGGGTTAAAGAAAGCAACTTGAAATGTTTGAGCTGTCTCATTTGAAGTCACTTTGAACTTGTCTCATTTGAAATCAGCTGTCTCATTTTTAATCGGTTCTTGTTGGACAGATGGGAGTATCTATGAGGAAGAGCCAGCCAACAAAGCTCTTCTCTCAACATGGCACTTAATAGCCAGACATTGCCGTGTGTGCCTGTTATCCCTGCAAGGCAAGGTGAGGTATGACGGTCACAAGCTTTAGGTCATTGTGGCCTATACACCGAGAACACGTGAGGAACAACAGTGCCTGAGAGTGATTCCAATCCCAATACCATGCACATGGCACATGACTTTGAACTCAAAATGGTAACTTAAATGTTAATATATCTTAAGTAAATATTTGTTAATTATTTATCTATTTAGTTATTTAGTTATTTTGTTTTTAAAAAGCAAACAACAACAATAAAACCCCCACGGTCTCTTTATGTAGCCCTAGCTGTCCTGGAGCATGTTCTATAGACCAGGCCAGCCTCAGACTCAAAGTGACCCTCCTGCCTCTGCCTCTGAGCGCTGGGATTAAAAGTATGCACCATCACACCTGGTCGCCAGTGAATATTTCTTAGGTGCCCATTATTAATATGGCTGGCCGCTGGAACCTCTCTACTGAGGAATGGGATAATCCCATTCTACACACCACGTCCTCTTTACACTTACTTCTACTCTACTGAAATTTAGTTTAACCAAGGTCCAGCTGAAATGTGTAGCATCTCCCATTCACTCCAAATCTACAACCTATGTTGCAAAAATATTAAGATTCAATGAGAAGCTTGAAAGCAGTTTTACAAATCAACTTCTAATTTGAAAAACTAAAACAAAACAAAAGAAAACAAAACAAAAAAACATCCCAAGATCATTTCTCTAATAGGAAAGAAAAGATGGGTTGGAATAGAGTAAAGAAGGCCAAATAAAGGCAGGCTCTCTCTGTCTGTCTCTCTCTCTCTCTCTCCCTTTCTCCCCTCTTCCTTCTGTTGGAAGAAAGAATATTGTTGAGAGATTCTTAATACTTTATACAACTCAAGCTATGAATGAAACAAACAAACAAAACTGGTGAAAGTCTTCCTAAGGTCTGTGTGGTCTCTCTGGTAATGGCTTGAACATAGGCAGCTGGTCACCCATTCTGTCAGTAACATGGCTTTCTCTTTGCAGACTCACCCATGCTCAGATAACACACCCTCTAAAGGACTTACAGAAAGGATAGCTGCAGCTTGTTTTCAGGGGAGCTGACAATGTTCCAGACACATTCCACATTAGGTTGATATTCAGCTGGGTAGCTAGGGCTGTTGAAGATGCCATCAGCCATGTGGAGAGTTCCACCACAAGCTGGAAGGCAAAAAAAAAAAAAAAAGGAAGTTTCAGAGCAAAGGCTAAATGAAAGACACCACAAGATATAAGAGGAAGGGCGTTAGAGCCACTATCTGCAAAGAAGGACAAAGCACTTCCATTGCACATTAAGAAGAGATACGTGTCACATACAGCAACAGAGTGAGGATACTAAAAACCAACAACTCCATAGTATGGTGGACCAGATGGGACCCTTTTCTAAAGCCTTTCTCCATGTGAACTAGAACTTTAGGTAATAAAAGGTTCTTCTTTTTTAATGGCAAGGATAATCTTCAGTCCTGTCCTAGAAGATAAGATAGTTTTCCTTGGCTGCCATGGAAAGGCAACCCTCCAGCTTTTCCTTCTGAGGAGAGAGCTGAATCACACCATTCTTCACCTTTCTGCACTTTGGCTGTCACAGACCCTCCTGGCCAGAACTGCAGTGCTGGATGTCACTTCTTTCATTTCCTGCCCATGTGTCTCAGGGCACAGTGGGCCTGTCACTACCCCGCCACCCAGCTCAGGAGACCCAGCTCAGAAGAATAACCATGAGGCTGTGCATCATACGGGTTTCCATCAAACTGGCAGTCATGGAGCACCTTAGAAAATACATTGCTGTGACATTAGAGAACAGATCTCCAAGATGATAAGGTTTAGCTAAGAGACAGCCAGGTTTACAGCCAATACCCCTCACTTCTAGACCTCATGGTTGTCGGAATTTACACAGCATTAAATTATAAAGAAGGCACAGGAAAATTTTCAGGAAACTAGCTCCTAACTTTAAATGAAAAGAGTCCCAAATAACAAACCAAAGATTTCCATCACAGGCCTGCTAACCCCTTTAACACCTCCAACTTACCTGATACTGATGCAGAATAGGTGGCCTGAAAACCATCAAAATTGCCTACAGAATCAGAGACAAACCTCACTGTCAGGGCACTGCCAAATGATCTGATGGGTTGAGGCAGGGAAGTACCACAATAACGGCCTAAAGGATGAAAAGAATGACAAGGAGGTGAGTAATGGCATGGCAAGGCCCACACATATCTTTACCAGGCACATACAAGAAATCACAGTGAGAACCATTTACATCAGAGTTGTACTTGAAACAATGTCTGACCATTAAAGATGAACTCCAAATACAAGCAGAGCCAGGATGATTTATAAATCCGATTTAAAACAAAACAAACAAACAAACAAAAACCAACCAACCAAAACAAAACAAAAAAAAAAAAACAAGAAACAGTAGAGGACAGAGGAAAACCTGATGTGACTAGACTCCAAATGTAACTCAAGAAAAAATTTCCAACCTGGTAGGGACCAAACAATAATGCATTCAGAGCCTCAGCACGTTATCACAGGGAAGAGTAGAGCAGATGATAGATCGATCACGTTGCATGGATTCAATGCCTGGCTTGCCATTTAATAGCTATGTAACCTGAGACAAGGAACTTGGGTGCTTTATGACTCAGTTTCTCCATATGAAGATGGTAATATATTGGAAATACTTAAATCTATGTCATAAGGATATAAAGACTGTGTTGCCACTCATAAAGTGCTTAAAACAGTCCTCCACAGGAAGTAGCTGGGTAAGAGTGTGTGTTGTATAACATATCCTTGTCTTTGGTCCAAGGTGAATGGATAAATATCTCAGACAATACAATCATAGATGTGCCTGGAGCTCATTCTTTGCCCAGCATTCTCTCAGGCTCCATTCTGGGTACAGGAATAAGCAGTGAGGAAAACAGTCTCCTACGGCAGAGCTTGTCCTCTGCCATGAAGACACTTCCATGGCAGAGGCTCATGGAGAAAGCTTAATGCATCTGAGGTTATTTTGTCTGACCACTGAAATTGCTGCCCACAGCTTAACTTTATTGGGATGACTAGCACAAAAACTGGTGGACTTTTTTTGGGAGGAGGGGTATTGAGACAAGGTTCCTCTGCATGGCCTTGGCTGTCCTGGACTCACTTTGTAGACCCGTCTGGACTTAAACTCACAGAGATCCACCTACCTCTGTCTTCCTGAGTGCTGGAATTACAGGTGTGTGCCACTGAGCCTGGATAAACTAGTGGACTTTTAACTAAGTCAATTAATTAATTTTGAAATGTTTTTCTTCCACTGGAGACAAAATAAATATTTCCAGTGAAATATAAAAAATATTTTTAAATGTTGACCAGAAATTTCTGAAAGAATTCTGTCTAATGCTGAAATAGTTTTTGTTCCATTACTGCTTCAGATTGTAATTTAGAATCTGAAACTTGTATGTTAGAAACAAATTAAAATACACAAACTATATTTTTGAGCATAAATCAGTTGAGTTTCATGAGCTTCACCTTGATCTGCTTTCATACCCTCTGGTAATTCTTATGGCTTATGAAGCTCTCCATGCTTACTGGAAACAATGTAATCTTCAATGTCAAACACACACACACACAAAGACACACATACACACACAACATGCACCATATTATATGACAAGACTACATATAAGTAGTCTTGTCATATAATATGTAAGTAACTGAGTCTCTGGTACCTCGAACAGGTGCATCATGGTCCTTGCCATCCAAAATTTCTACAAAGTCCCGTGTGCAATTTATGTTGCTTTGAAGTTGAAAGTGCATGAAGGAGAGAGTAATATGATTGACTGTGAGAAAAAAAGAGAGAGAAAAGAGGATTGGTTATTTAATAAAATACTAGCAAGCAGAGCAGAGAGATTTTTGCCTCTGGTACTGTCAGATGAGGGGTTTCCAGCAGGGAAGCAAGGAATTTGGCAGCTTTGCACAGAGGTTGGGTGAATAAACAGAGCTAAGGGCTCAGCTTCATGCTAAAGAGCTTCCTTTGAATAGTAACAGAATCAATGCTTTTAAAAATGCCTGTAGAATCCAAAATGCCAGTAATGGTAAATCAAGACTCTTGGATAGATTCATCTCAGGAACTTTGGGAAATGTCTTGTTGGAAAATAAAATTTTGGGCTTGTTTTGTTTTGTCGGCCATTGTTGTGTTCCTCTCATAAGCATTTTCTTCCACGGATGGGTTTTCTGAGATTCTAATCCCTTACATGCACTGGTAGTGAGCAGGCTTTCTCCACTGGATATGTCTCCTAGCACACTCAAGCTTACTTAAGGGTCAGAAGCAGTGCCCTACAGCTTTCAAATCCTTCATCAACAAAGCTTTGAATCACAGCCCATGCCTGAGTTACGTTTTCTTTTTGTTGTCCTTTACAGTGTCCCTAATCTTCAGAATGGGATCTGTTCCTGCTGCTGGCCTTGACGTGAGATCTTTCATCTGGATGTTTTTACAGCTCTTTAGAAAATAATCAGTAGGCACAAAACTGCTGGGCTCAGTGCAGGGGGCTTCCTTATCTCTGCCCTGTTGGGGCTCCGCCCTCTCCATCCGAAAAGGCTAAGGATTACATCATCAGCTCCCACATCCCATGCATGGTCACAATACTATCCACTTGTGGAAGCATTGGACGGCGTTAAAGCCGGATCTTTCGCACATTCTTTTGTGCTGGGACCTGGTTGGGCTAAGTGACCGTCCTATTTCCATGAGGTCATTAACGAGAGAGCAGAGAAAGGAGCTTAATGGCTTCCCCACACTGGGTCTTAAATCACAACTTCTTTCTGGAAACCTTTAAAGAGGGCAGGGTTCAAATGAAACTGGACTCATTATGTGGCCTGGGTCACTGTTTGGAGCCATTCTGCTGTGTCTGTAAGGGCCGTCTCATTTTCACTGCACTTAAAACGTGAACAGACTATTACCATGTCAAATAATAGAACTAAAATTCCAAAAAGAAAAGAAAGCAAGCATTTCTTGAGGGATTGTAGGCCTGAGCTAGGAAGGACCAGGTCTTACAATTAGTTTCCCCTTTAGTGATCAATAGCTAGTGACATTGAATCCTCCAACTATAAGGTATTTTTCCAATCAATATCCTTATATTCATGCTCAGAAACATATGGCAAGAGCTCTTTCTCTATTAATTACTTTTTCATAACCCCAATATCACATGCCTTCCAGGACAACAAAGATACATACAAATACTGTCTAACAATTCTAGGGGGCCAACCCAGGGTTTTGTGCATTGTAGGCAGGTAAGTGTTCTATCCTTTCTCTTTGTTTCTTTGCTTGTTTGTTTTTGAATCAAGGATCTCACTGATCCCAGAGTAGCCTCCAACTGGATTTGAATAGAGGATGTCCTTGAACTTCTGACTTTCCCACCTCCCAGCATGTTGCACCATTCTTCATTCATGTAGTGCTGTGGATCAAACCCAGGGCTTCTGTGGTGATAGGCAGGTACTCAGTTCACTGAGCGACACCGTCAGTTGCCCCAGCCCTTGGCTTTTTTTCAGAGACAGGGTCTCTCTATGTGACTCAGGCTAGCTCTGAACTTACTGTTGAGCCCAGACTGGTCTCCAACTCCCAATCCTTCTGCCTTAGCCTCCAGAGTGCTAGGATTACCACCTCCAGCCTTAAATTTTCTTTTAAACTAATATCAGTTGGTTTAGAAATGTTTCTTACTAGCCTACAAAGTTACTGTTTCCATGCATTCCAGGAGCTTCCAAGAGAAGAGGCCAATCATGAGTTCCCACCACTGAAGGGGTGAGCACTCCACTCACAGCCTTGTCTCCCAGAGGTACCACTTCCACAGACTCCTCTCCTTTTTATTTTTTTTTTCTACTTACATGGAGGTTGAGCTTCGAGTATCCAGGTACAGTTTTGATTGTGTGGATATCTTTCAGGGAACAATGGAGAGGAGATCGTATCAGAAGAGTCAGTGATGATGTGGCCTCCACACTCTGGGAAGCACAAACATTCATGTCACATAAACTTTCAGTTTCTACCAACTGCATCAAACAATTACTAGATGAGTGAAAATACAAATATATTCTTCTAATTTACACAGATCATACAGAGGATGCTCTCTGCAGAGGAAGTGTCACAAAAACCATCACATAATGAGAAAATGCTTTATATTTACATTACTTTTCAATTACAGGAAGTGCAGACATGGCATAGAAAAACACAATAAGGATGTGAATTGGCTGAACTGTCTAACCAATACCCTGGCTTTGATTCACTTACTCTGTTCACTCATAAATTATAAACGGTGTAAATTGTGTATAAACTAACTTTCTTTTCTCTAGAAAGCACTTCATTTTTAAAAGGTGATTGCAAGTTAACCAGAGGAGCATCTCTGGAAACTAAGGAGAGCAGAGCATGTTGCATCATTGAGTCCCAGTCTCCAGAGGAGGCAGGACTGAACCATGGTGCGAAGAGCAGTGGAAGGAGTAGGCAACCTGAGCAAAGACAGGGTGAGGAGAAAGGCCATATCTACACAGTCTTGACTGATGCATGAGAGACATAAGTAGTACTGAGAGCAGCACTGCAAAAGGGTCAGGACAGGTTTCAGAGGGTGGTTAACAGTTGGAGGGGCTTGGCTTTTATCTTCTAAGCCACAATGAAAAATGAGAGCCATGAGGAGCCTCAAAGTCATCAGTGTCTCCTACAAGTTATTTGGGAGGAAAATGGAGCAAGCATGGCTGAGTCTGAGGAAGCTGTTACAAAAGTTCAGACAGGAACAAGAGCAACAATTCAAGGGATATTAAATATATATAAAAAAGCAGTAAGTACTGGTTTTTTTTCTTTGAAATCACTGATAATGATAGACAAACACCAGTGTCTTGCTCCACAGTCTCCTGTGTACCTTTGGGAGACTGAGAGAAATTGTCTCTATCTATTTACTAATATGATACCTGCAAGTCAACTAATATGGATGCCAACTGGGATTTGATGAATAAGCAGGCAAATCTTTTTCTGAGGCAAGGCCAGTCAAGCCTTGCCATCAAGCCTGCTGACATGAATTCAATCCCTGAGATGCAAATGGTAAAGGAGAGTACTGAGACCCATAAGTTGTCCTCTGCCCATTAGTGTGCACCATGACACACACAAATAAGTACATGATCATTTTTTTTAATTAAAAAATATGTTGAACTCAATGATTTGAGTCAGCCAGATAAAAATCATGGCCCTATCCAAACCAATTAAGAGTCCCTCCAATCTCTAGGTTCCTTTGCAGTTTGACAATTTAATAAAGATTAATTTCTGAGAAGAATATGGTGAAGGGCAAAGGGTGAAAAGACTTGGGAGAATCAAATTGAGATGTGGTGATTTAAGCACAAAATCAAATTAAGAAAAAACAAACTGGGATTCAGCAAAAAGGTGAAAAAAAAAAAAAGACTCCATGGTGATGGAATCTGACTCTACAGTGCAAACAAGTCTCAGAGTTGTGTGCCTCCCTGGATAGGTGCTAGGTAAATTAATTTGGCTAGTTCCTTTTTATGTATCACTGGCATTATATCAATAAACATTATTCTAAAACCACCACACTTAAGAGATATACAGATTCTAAGACATCATCATCATTTAAGATAGATGAGTAAAATATATGAACAGGTAGAATACCTTTAAGTTTCCCTATCTGAACATTTGTATATTAAGTTGGAAACTGTGAACGGTTTCTGAAGCCTAGTGTTGTTTTATCCCTAAGAAGGGGTTGGGTGACCCACAGAATACTTGCCTTGCCTGAACTGAGCCAGGAAGCCCCTGCTCTGTCTGGAAGATCCAGACTGGAACCTCACAAAGAGGCTGTTTTCTGTAGAGATGATGGAGTTAGGTGGGTGCTGTCTTCCACATACTCTGGCGACACGGGTGTTTGCAGAACTTGAGCCATCATACGTCTACAAAAATGGAAAATGGAAAACAGGCTCAATACTGCATATTTACCATGAGCAAGAAAAAGGGCGGAATTCTTCTAATAATGTGAGTGCGATGACCCTGGTTTAAGAAATTAAACTAGAAATTCAAAGACATCTGACCACTCTTGCCAGCAGGGTGGAGTTTATAGCCCATGTACCCAATTCTCTACATCTCTCTGTGAAGCTCCAGCTCCCTCATCTGTTTGGTGAGGAAGTAACACAAGTCTTTAAGCACTTCTATGTGTAAGCCAGGGATAAATGAGTCCCTTATCTTTGCATGGCAATACTTGCTTCCTAAGAGGAAACAAGTAACATTGAGTCAGAAAACTAGATTTTGGGGTCTAGAATTCAAACTCTTATTTTGTTCAATATCAGCTGAACAGGGTAGCTAGATTGATATAACATGTAGGTATCTAAATTAAATATTTGCCAGCTATATTTTGTTAAAATGACTAGGGAAATTACAGAATATTCAGTGATCTAAAGTAAGGAAGATATTCACAAGTAAGCTGGAGTCTAGTGATAACTATAATCAGTCTTCTATCACGTAAGCAGGATTGGGAGAGTATCCTGAGTTGATTTGTGCAAGCACATGAATAAGATGGCAATAGGGTTTAAATTATCAGAGAAAGGGACCAGGCTTTTATAGAGACAAATACAAACTGAACATGGCTGTAGAACAGTACTTCTTTCTCCCTACCCCTTTTATTATTAAATATTTACTTTAAATCTAAACTTTCCATAAATAAAACTTAAAAATGATATTAATTCAACAAAAATTGACTGAAAATTAAATTATGTTTTTCTAACCAATTGAAAATATGATTTTCAGTACTATCATTTCAACCAGTCCCTTACTCTCTGCTCGGCCATAAATAGGACATTTGTGTTGCACCTTCTCCTACAAGCTCAGAGACTGTCCAGAAGGGGCGGGAGCGGGGAGACGGTGCAGACGGCAGAGTCAGAGGATGGGGAGGAGCACTGTAAAGCAGTGTCTTCTGGACATGAGTGGGTCTTGGTGCCCATGAACTCACGCGGTTGTGTTTGCCAGTGTGAGACCTGCGCAGACCTAGTGAGTCAATATCCCAGCACGGATAAGGGAGGCCCTTGTTCATGCTCCAGTGTATAACGCTACACCTGTGTGTGTGGGGGCAGCACAATACTCAGCAGGTTATTGTCAGGAGAGAAAAAAAAGCTGCAAGAAAACAGCTCCCAGAGCAGAGCTAGCAAATTACATCACCACTGGATATATGTACAATATATTCATATGACATAATTCTCAAGTCTGCTGCCAAGACTAGGCTTAGAAATTGATTTTTTTCATCTGCTCCTTAAGTAGAAAATTCCAGAGCAGTGTACACACAAGACTAAACTCTCAACTTACTCTTTTCTTCTAGGTGACACTAATGAAGTACGATTTTTGAAGCTGAGTCTACAAAAGGAAAAAAGAGCAACCATGCTCATGGATTCCAACTAGCTCAGCTCTCCAGAAGCTGAGGCAGGTCGAGCTAAGTGGTAAACATTTCCACAGGAAAGGACTGGGGATGCCATAAAATCACGAGATTTTAGGCACACATTTAATAAGCCACATATTAACTATCGGAGGTATAAATGTCTAGCATATGTCAGTTTATAAAGTTTCTAAGAATAGAAGGCTTAGCATAGATAAAAACCTCATGAGGTGGATTATTAGGAACAAAGTAGACCCAAGAGTAAGAAGCTTCTCACAGGGAGAGAGGCCAAGCATGGCTGCCGTGAGGTCCCTGTGGCTGCAAGTTTTCTGTATTCTGTGCCCAGAGTGAATGGTAGGGGTGCAGTCACAGGGCGAAGGCAACTCCATACACTCAGCTCTCGGGTGCCCTTCTCTGGCCCTGTGAGAGAAGGGAGAAGGATCGGGGATAAGGGCTCTGGGCTTCTCCCACAGCCCAGAGTATGTTGGAGACAGACTTCTTGTGAAGTGTCAGCCCTTTCCACACAACGAGCCCTAGCCAGAAGCGGGGACTGAGCTAACGGATTAGGAATTTTCATGTTTGACATTTCAATATCATGAAATTTGAGTAAATATCAACCATTGCCAGGTTAATACATATATCAAGTGGCATTAGGAAAAAAAAATCATTCAAGTGAGAGCCTGACATCCCTTCCTGATGACATTTACAGTTCTCGGAGGAAGGCCTCTATGTTCAGAGTCTTGCAAGAATGGCAATCCAAAAAAATGTCACGCGAATCTTTTACTTTACCAAACATAATGTGCTAGTGTAAATATTCACGATTAATGAACTATATGAGCTATGGAAATGTTGATAGCAGAATTTCTTTTAGGGGAAATATAACTTCACTTAGCAACACATCTTTGTAAGCGTCATTGTGGAACCACAGTAATGGAGGTAATGTGTTCTGTCTTGGGGGACAAGTCGCTCCCCTTCCTGTGCTTCCTAATCATTGCTGTTCCACCTATTTTATGAAATGGTGATGTTAGTATTTATCACAGAGAGAACTAAATGAGTAAAAAGAATTAAGAGATTTCTCATGTGTAACAGATAGCTGTTAAATAGCGTGAGTCTTTATGACAAAATGCTTTACATCTCTCCTCTATCTCCCAACCCAGTGCACCAGTATGCTGTCAATTTTCTCTGATGTATCTTTTGATTCTGTCTCTTCTCCTCATGCCTGGAGGCCTCCTCTGGGTGCCTTAGTATTTGGATTTTTTCTTGATCACTTTTTTCTGTCTTGACTTTGAGTCATCTTTCAATTCAGTCTCCACACAACTGCCTTTGTGCCATGTGCTGTCTCTAAAGTGTAAAGCCAAATACAAAGGGAAAGATGAACAGCCCTACAGGTTTGTAGACTACATCAGACAGAGAGAAGCAGTCACTGGTGGCTACACTTCCGATCCAAAGAGCACGTGACTGATACGGATGCCAGTGCTGCGGCCTGGAGTACTTGCTCTCCTCTGATCAGAATCCTGGGGTGAATAAGCGGCTCATGACCACCTGATGGAAATATCAGCCAGCACTTATGGCCCAAAGCCTGTGACTGCAGGGCAAAATGAATTTCAATTTCGGCAGCAACACATATTTTGCTTTCTAAATCTCCTAGGTTGAGCTTTCCACGAAGAGAAACTGGGAATGTTTTAAGTGTGTGGCTTTATTTCCATTTGTGGCACTATACTTTTTGTTTCCTTACTTGCAAATCTCCTAGGAAATAGCAAAATAATTGTAGCAAGACCAAATGTGTTTGGTGGGGGCTGGTGAAATGGTTCAGCAGGTAAAGATACCTGCAGACAAGCCTGATAGCCTGTGTTTGAATCCTGAGATCCACTCACATGATGGAGGGAGAGAAGTGGCTCTAACAAATTGTCTTCTGACCTCCATATGCAAACACATGTACACAAAATTAATACGTAAAAATGTATTTTAAAATGTTGATTTTGCAAGGATGATACATTAAAGACTGAAAATAAAACATAAATCTTAAAATGTAAGTTAGTTCTTCTTAGGGCCTCATTTTATAGCTTAGAAACTTTAAAGACTTAGAAAATATAAGTGACTTAGAATCAAATAGTCACTGATAGCACAGATGTCTTCCTGGCATCTTACTGGTTGTCATTAGTACCAAGGGGAAAGGTAAGATTAAATTTCTTTAATTTAGCTCAGATATTAAAAAAGCATAATTCTGTAAAGCTCCATGAGATCCCCATGACCTTTCAGAAAGATAATCATTGGAGTTTCCTGATTCTATAAGACTGCAATGAATCATCATGATTGGGGGCTATGATGGCTGATCTTGGTTGTCAATTTTACTTCACTGGAATTAACTAAAACCCAAACAGCTGGGCACAGCTGTGAGGGGGTTTTCTTGGTTGGATCACTTGAGGTTCGAGGACTCTCTCATAATCAGGTCCTTCCTCTGGTAGAAGCTCACACAAAAGAACAAGGAAGAAGGAAGCTTTTGCTTTTTCATCTGCTTGTCCTCTTTCTCACTGGCAAAGCCATCTACTTTGTTCCTTTTAGAGAATCCTGACTAATAAGACACATTTTAGAAAGCCGTGTGTTGGGCTTTCGTGGATTTCAGAGGGTTTGCCGTCTTTCATGCATTCCATTCCACTGAACAGGCACAGCATTCTCAGTGTGGCTAATTCACAGGTGTTTAACAAACAGCCCAGCGTGTAGGCTAATAAATAAACCTAAAATTTCTGTCCCTGACTGCTAAACCTGGTTGTGCTCTTGGACCTCTGTGTACTAGTAACTGTCTGTTTCCCCTGTCAGGCTTAATTGCAGGTCTCTGGCCTGGCACACCCTCGCCTCTCATTTGGCCCCCTGGTGTTTACTCTTCACTAAATTTTAACTCTGTCTGACAACTCATGTCTTTGCTTCAAGTGCTTTAAATCTTAACAAGCTGAAAGAAACATAGGTAAGGGTAATACACTTAGGAGGTAATAGAACTAATTCATATCTGTCAGGTTGTCAGGAAACTCCAATTTCCCCAAACTCCAAAAGGTACTACAGATATCCAGAAATGAGCTCCCCCCTGGAATATTAGCAGATTTCTGGAAGTTAAATACCAGTGTTCTTCAGGAACTTGTGAATCTGATTCCTCTTTTCCCAAAGAAGTCATTTCCCAGCAAAAGCAACGAATGGATATCAGGCTAATGTATCTCTCTGTCACTTCTCAGCATGATAAAGCTTCACACTAGTCTGCAGGCCCCTTAGTACTCACACGTACTTGTCAGACATTTCAATCCTTCTATGCCAGTGTCCAGTCCCCTTATAACGTGGCTATTCACACTATTCTAGGCCTATTCTCACTATGCCTTCACAGATAGCCCTGGCCATATCCAGTCTGCTGGCCCTGTTCAATCTACTTTCTCTCCCTGCTCTGGACTCTTCCAGATGCCTTGGGATATTTTCTTTCTCTCTCCCTCTGATGCACAATAAAAGCTCCCCATACTGTGGAATGGTCATGTCATTAGTTTACACAAA